TTTATACTGCAGTAGACAGAAACTATGGCAATTGAGGTAATCACCCGTCCAGGTAAGCTATCTGTAGACAAATAGTCTTATTCATCCATCCTATCAGCAAGTTATAAGTACATCTAAAAATGGCAATCAGTCGTCTTTTTTCTCCCACATATGTTAAAGATATACTACTTTGTACAGTATTCATCCGCTTAAGAATTCCTGTGGCATATGTCCATCTGTAACAAATATCACCCATTCACGTGCCTCTTTGAATATCATTTTGTCCAATTAAATCCCCAACTAGGTTCTCAACATATGATATATGTATATACACATATTTTTTATTTATTTTGATTATAGCTTAATTCTACACAGTACTTTTCGTACAAGTATGGAATTTTCAGCATGTGATATAGGTAGTCCAAATTTTGCAGGCTGACCATTGATATCAGGTGTGCGTCGGCAGGTGATCGAACCCCGGACCATGTGCATGGTCGGTGAGACTCCTAACCGCTGTACCACCGACGCACAGCGCACCGAGGTCGGGATATATCATTGGAAAAGCTTTTGAAATCCCCATCTAGTTATGCAAGCTGAAATCTCCAACAAGGTCTACATTTTCCAGAGATAACAGTTAATAAGCACGACACCTAGACAATTCTGATAGAAATGAAACAAGGAAGAAAGCTATTTATGTACTGCTTGAAAATATTTTAAGTTATATTTTCAAGTATTGGTTCTTGTAGGGACTTAGTGTGATTGGTTGGAGGATTTCATCATGAGCTGACATCAGCTGCCTATGGTTGAAACGACTCTTCCTATATAAGTGAAGGACACCATCTCTGTTAAATCTGTCCCGTTGATGGTGATTGGTTGGTTATCTTTGTTACCTCTGTCTTTTCTTTGTTCACCTGGAGTCCTGTCTTCTCCTGCAAGTCTTTGAGTTTGTGTGACATTAAATATACGTCATCGGAGAAATCTATGTCTTCTAGAGAAAGTTAGTTATAACTGGCTGCATAAGTTAAGTGTATAGAGTAACAAGAAGGGGGAAGGGAAAGTCTAGGAGTCCACTACAATGAAATTATTACTTCACCTAAATGATCACTCAATAATATTATCTTTCTGTTATCAGTGCGAACCTAACGAATTGGTGATACTCACTAGCGGCTGGCCTTATTCAGGCAGTTACTTAGAGTTCCATTGGGAAGCCGTGACCAGTAGGGTGAGGCAGTAACTCATCGAAGAAGACATTGCGAAGTGGTCGCGCTATGTCATGAATTGGCAGAAGTTAGAATTGACGGGCTGGCAATTGGATCATGTCCCAGTGGTTTCATGGTCTGCGAGCTCACCTTGTAACCAGGACATTCTGGGTTCAAACCCAGCTGGCGGGTGAGTACTGGTGAAGAGCCTCAAGCTAGGACGAAACAGAGTTCCAGTACTCCCAGGTTTTCCAATGATTCTCTAACTGATGTCAGCTTATAATTTCCGTTGATACCAAACCATTTTTCTGAATCATAATCCAATCAAATGAAAGCAAGCAATACCAATTGAATAATTGACACACTAAATCATTAAAGTATAAATTCTTCTACCGATAAAATTAATGTACCCCGTTGTTTGATAAAAAGGATATCGTCCTTAGTCAAAACCAATTAGAAGGAATTAGTTACATCCCTGTTGTTATTTTGTTCAGGTCAATTTTGTTTTCCCGTTGATTGACCGAACCGAGATATTCAGCTTCTAGTACGGACGATTCGACGACGTCTGAGAAGTAACACTGATACTGTTCGGTGGATGGTAACTACCATACTTTGTCCAGTTCCAGACTACTCACTTAGAATTACCTTGGAATCGCAGGTACTTCCAGATGAGGAGACTCGAATAGGACGAAATGCCCATCATGGATTCCGCTTCTGGTCGCTATCCACCAAATAATATCAATACTTGCCTATCGTGCTTGTATGTTGATTACAAATGTTAATATACACACTGATGTGCTACTTGTGTTAAACAGGATATAGTCATGAAGAGACATCAGTGGCGGAGTGTGCATTGATTTATTGAAGACTATTAAACACTTCCTAGCTTCATTTCGTTTTATTTTAGAGATATTTATGTGCCTGTGATGTTCACGTCTCACTAACAAATGAATGTGAAATTTTCGACTTTCATCAGCTTAGCATCATCTTTCTAGATTTATGCTGTTTAATGATGCATCAATTATCGGAGGAGTAATCACTACTGTTCTCCAGTAATTCTTCTTTAATGCGTTTTATTCATTGTTAACTTTGATGTACTTATTCAGTAGACACTGTTTAAACAACAAAATTGGTATTACTTTAATCGCTAGTATTCCCTCGAAATGGTACAGAAAATTTAAGGTAAAACAGATTAAAAAATTTCATAATTCGACTCAATCAGATAAAATTAGGACCTTTGTATTCCTTCCCGTTAAAATACCACTTTTAAGGTGGTCCATTAATACAACCTATTTATTGGTATTAGATGGTTGGAGGCAATCGACAGGAAGCCTTGAACCTAGGTTTCGTTCTAGATGGTACTTACTCGTCAGCAAGGCGTATCTGCAACCTTGAAGGAACTCATGTCCCTTCTGAGAGCTCTCCATAAAATACTTAACACAGGTTCACCCAGTTAACTGTAGGCTATGTGCTAAGACTGATAACAACACCCCTTAAATGGATAAATGGTTCAAATTGATAATTTAATGGCTAATAGTGACCACTAACCGAAATATGTATGTCAGTTCACCTTCTCCTTTGGAGTTAGGTGTATAGGTCGTTCAGTGCGTATCCTTTCAAAGCTAGTTGGAGAAAACTACTCGGTGTACTATAATCAAGCATCCTACTATCATTTATCACAAAATCTCAATTGATTCATCATTCAGAGTCATTTACAAAATAAAAAGTACTCTATTCCCACAAATTTTTCAGTGGCAAAAACACAGAGAAGCTGGAGTTATGAGATCAAAAGAAACTCATTCAACTATGGAACTAGTTTTGCTTGCTTTCTTCTAGTTTTTGTAATAATCTCCTTAAATGTTTTCATCTTCACTTACAAAACATTATTTCACTCCTGGGTTCGAATCCCGGTGGGTGCGTACTGTGAAGAGTCCCAAACTGGGACGAAACAGCTGTCCAGTACTCCCAGGTTTTCCAATGGTTCTCTAACTAATGTCAGCTCATGATGAAATCCCGTAACCAATCAAATCCCTACAAACCAACACTTGAAGATTATTTCACTCCGTTTCCATGACTATCTTGACTATAACTCTTTTTCCAAATCAATTATTTTACGCTATAGGTGATCATGAAGATAGGCAGTGGAGATAACCATTCATTGAGTGTCGTCATCTGGAAACACCGGCCCCAGTGGCTTGGACATGTGCTGCGAATGTCATCCCAGAGGCTTCCGTAGATGTCTCTGTTCGCTAGCCCTGGGACGGGATGGAAAAGGCGGAAGGGTGGTCAGTCCATGACGTGGCGTCGTGGGATGAGGGATATTTGTGTTAGATTAGCATCGGTTGGTGCGTCACGACTCCCTGGTTGGGGTCCGCGAGATATCCCGAATCGATGGCTCGAAACGTTATCGGATATGGCCAAGAATCGTAATCAATGGCGAACGTGTTGCAATTTCCTTCTTTCTTCCCTTCCTGATGATAGTTAACGTGTGCTGTTTGAACTTGTTAAACATGACTGTTTTCCTTCCAGATGAAGTTCTTTATCCGTTTTCTACTTATATTTTTACTTTTAATCTATGTTGTTTTATTATTATTGTGTGGCGCATCTTTCTTGGTGCCATATTGTACCAAGTTTTTTTTCTGCGTTTAAATAAATAAATAAATAAATAATGAAGATGGATTGAACATAAGTTGAAAAGACTACTGAGTGACACCACTTGCCAGGCCCTAGACTGAAACATGAATGAGAAACGATGAGTTAGGATTCCGAGGTTGACTTGGAGGCAATCATGTGAGGGAGAAAATGAGAGCTAATGAGGAATCGTAGGACCAACTAAAAGAGACTGTAGAGAACAAAGTGCCCGACTGGTTTCAACGTAGACCTTTGCACAGATGTACAGCAGTTCGAGTTGTCACACTCCCTCAATGTAGCACACAAAACAAGAGAAGAGATTAAAGGGAGACAATGAACGAAAATATGAGGCAAAACAATAGTAATATAGAAGAACAAGAAAGTTTTATTGGATATGATAAATCATAAGGAGTGAATGCATCTGCACTAGCCGTTGATAAGGATTTTGAGTCATATCACGAATTGTCTCCAGCCATTGGTTTTTACCATCCCGAAAGCCCCCAACCAGGAAGTTTACACCTTACTATGGGACTTAAAATAACTGTTGTAGATTCCATCGACTGATGCCATGTTTTGGTTTGACCACCACTAGCTCTCTTCCAACTTGATCCATCCTATGTCAGCTAACATTGACCGTCGAGGAAGACAATGGCTAGGCATGCGTAACACATGTCCTAACCATCTCAGTCGATGTAACTTCACAACCTCGTCGTCTTATTTCCACTCCTTACCTAACACTCGATGCCTAAACTCAATATTGTTCACCTTATTACACCACCTAACACGGGAGATAGAACGCAGCCACCTATGATCAAAGATAGCCAGACAGGATTTCATACCTTCCACTTTCTGGTCTCTATATTTTTCTGTGATCAGTATTCACTTGTAAGTTTTCATATTATGCTGAAACATTATTATCTCCTTTTGTCTCATTTTACCTTCGTCACAATGATCAACTTTTAAGAAATACTTATTATAACTATACTACCTTATTGAATGAAATAGTACCAAATAAAAAAGATTCAATTGTACTGGTAGTGAGAATTAAATTACCGACAGTGATTATCTTTCCTAAACTTCTCGTCTTCACTTCATCGAAGTTGATGATCATTCAGCACACTCTAACAGTAATTAAATTCCCTCATTTTCAACAGATGTTTTTTTATTCTCCCTGAATAAATGACTATTTAGAGTAGTAGTAGTAGTAAATAAATAGTAAAAATGAAAAAGACACCTCACCATATTGTCGTTCAAAGTTAATTCTATATTAAATATATGTATATCATCTATCGTAATACATAAATAATATTGCGTAATTACACAATGATAAATTTGCAAATTATCAGTGCAGTTCACCTCATCATTATCAACTCAACTAATACTTTGTTTCAACCGCTCTTCAAATTTCTTTGCTTTGAATAATTCAAAATCTTTTTTCTTATCGAATAGGCTAATCTAAAGAAGGAGAATAGAGGTGGGGAGGGGGAAGAAGGCAAACGAAATTGTGTTAATTAAATTTGTATACAAGGTGTTTCTGATTTTTTTGAGTTTAGACAAATAATGAATGAATTAATTCATACAATATATATATATATATATATGGAATCATAAGTGGCATAACTGTGTGCCCAGTGATAATGTAGTCAGCTATACAGAAATAGACTAAAGGGTAATTACACTAGAAATAAGGCAATATAGTAGTGAAGAAAATCTATCAAAAAACATTATAAAAAGACGTTTCCACAAACAATTATCTCATTTCAAATACCCTTGGGAAGTAAAACGCCTTTGCATATTTGGAATGAATAAGATACATAGTCAATTCTAGATTAAGTTTAACCACCAATTGATATCAGTTAGATAGAACCATTGCAAACCAGCTGGGAGTACTGAACACCTGTTTCGTCCTACTTTTGGACTCATCGGGAGTATGAACCCGGGACCTTATGGTTACAAGTCAAACTCATTCAGCCACTGAGACACGACTCAATGACCAGCCCTTGAATTCTAACTTTTATCAATTCATGATTTTAAGGCGACCACCAGCCAGTATCATCGGCGAGTACCTGTCCTCAATCTCAACCTAGTTTTCAATGGTTCACTAACTGATATCAATCTGTGATCAAACTGCAAACAAATCAAATTCCTACAGACTAACTAACTCTACATAGACTGAAGTTATGCTATCATCAAATAAGTGATTCCAACTAGAATTCTATTAAATCCGGTTTTGGTTATTTTATGATGTTGAGAAAGTTATTGCACTGTGGTGAGTGCTACTTATAATCCGACATAAGTAGTATATCAGAAACGAAGTAACAATATGTTTGGCACACTGGAAAGAGCAATCAAAGAAGAGAACCATGAGAAGAATGTTGCCATATGATGCAGAATCCAAGAAGCTATCAAATGAGACGATATTCGACCAATTCGTCAAGGATATGGTGAAGATGTGCAAATGGCCGGTTGAGAATATGGTATACCAAATTTAGCTATGTACCACACACGTTTCATCAAATTAACATTCCTTTCAGTCTCCTCGGTCTTTTCTTCTTTACAGTACAACTGTATATTTACAAGACAAATAGATTGGTCAAAGAATATTCTTTTCGATAACATCTGGCTCTGCAGCTGTATATACATACTGAAACGGTAAAAAGACGCAAGACTTGGTAAAGGAATAGCTATTTGGACTTTGGTATCTCTGTATAGCCAAATTATGTACACCTTATCATCAAAGCACCATTTACACAGATCTCCAGTGTTGTGCTACTTCTGGCCTTCCTTCATATTGTGTTTCTTTATGGTCCTTTCACGTCTCCTATGTATTTCCACAACGCTGTACCATTTGCCTTCCCTAAAATCAAATGTATCTCCCTGCTGTTCGATGTTTTTATGCCAATGAACATCTCTTTATATACTACTGATAAATCTTATCAGTATATATTTAATACTTAGAGAGTAATCGTTATTCACAGCATTGATGTTTCTTTTTAAAATACAGTCTTTCTAAATACCTTAACAGTAAATCCGAGTATGTTTGGTATTTATTCCGCTCTTCACAATGCTATATGATAGTTCAACAACAAATATGCTCATACTTTGAAAATTTTCCACAAACTTTCATAATTTTTCCCTTTTGTTTTTTACTTAATTTGTTCATTGTTGTTTTATTTAATTCTTATTCAATTAACTTTCAAATATGCTGTTTCCAAAGGGGTAACAGTTTGAACCGAATGTATCACTATTTCGACCAGCCTAGCTTTCATTGATGATTTATCTCTGAGATAGTACACTAAAAATAAACTGTGATCTATCTGGGAAAATCAAAAACAATCAGTAAGGATACATTTTGTTGATATACAATTGGAACGCGGAAAACTGAACAAAAAATATTTTCCAAAAGAAATGGTTACTGAGCAAAGAATATTCTTTTCGATAGCGCCTTCATCATCAGGTTCTACAGTTATATATACATAATGGTCAATGAATTAGTGTTATTAACAACATTAATGTTGTTTAAATAACATCGAATCAATAACAATAATCATGCCAATGGATTACAGTTCGATAGCATCAACATAACACTACACACTGAATGAATATCAGAGAAATTAGGAAAAATAATAATAATACAGATTCATGAATTTATAGTCTCCACTGAAGGCTGGCTAGGACTGTAGTAGTGGCTGGACTTCCTTCTTCTGCACACAGGGCACTGGTTGTTTTAGGCGAATCGCAATAGCCTCTACTGTTCGGTACCTGGATGCTTTTGGCAATTTATTTGACACCCGGTGGATGATAGAGAAGCAAGTCCAGCTACTACTACTGCCCTGGTCAGCCTTCAGTGGAGACTATAAATTCGTGGATTTGTTTTATCATTATTTTTACTAATTTTTCTGATCCCGACTTATAATATACAATAAAACTATATTATTCTTCCATATTTCTATTCTTTTTGTTCTATATCTCTGTTTTGAATCTTTTTTTTTAACTTTCTTCTCTTCCTTTGTGTGCTAAGTGAATTGTGGCAATTCGAACTGCTGCACATCGGTGCAAAGTTCAATGTTGAAACTAGCCAGTCAGTCAATTTCTCTGATATTCAGTGTATTGTTATGTTCATGCTACGGAACTGTAATCGATCGATATTATCACTGATTCGATGTCATTTAAACAACATTAATGTTGTTGATGAGACTGATTCATTGAATATTATGTACATATAACAGTAGAACCTGATGAAATGCAAGTTATCGAATAGAGTATTGTTTAAAATAATAGAGAAGATTTATAGCTCAGGTGGATGATTTGCAATTAGTTGTGTTTTCTGAGCTGGTTGGTTTAATTGCGGAGCTTTCGTCTTCCTTCTGGACAACATCTTCAGCGCAAGTTTTAGCATGAAATGAACTGATTTCAATTCTCCATGAATGATAGAATTGCGTCTCCTAGTAATCATCTTCATGGCTGGTAGTCGATTTACATATGTATTGGTCATTTTGAACTTTCTCGTCACATGATTTACTCTCTATTAGTTGGTATATGTGGTCTATATTAATATATTTGTTAATCGTTCATTCACTTGAGTACCAGGCTTCTAGAAATTCTCTGGCACTTTTGGTGTTTCCTCTGTTTAAAATTTCGACATTATCCCAATCAAACTGGTGTCCATAATTATCCACATGCATTGATATGAAAGAATATATATCATGTCTTTTCACAGCTGATTTGTGTTCCTAGATTCTGATTCCAAGGGGACACCCACTTTGACCGATGTAATGTCTGTTACACTTCATACAACTTATTTTGTAAATGGTATTAATTTTATCTTCTTTTTCTGCTTGGTGGGTGTTTCGGTTTGCACAATATTGAATGGAGTGATTGTGCTGTCTGGCTTGTATGCTATGTCTACTTCAAACGGTTTCAACGAATTCAGCTGTCTGAACTGTGTTTAACCGGGTACACCAATGATGAGCTTGTCCCTAATGAGCAAAACGACCATCCGGTGTTTACAAAACTTCAATATGGCTAACGACCATTACTGGTTGACCGTGGGTGGGTATATAACTACTTATCCAAGTCAATCAGTAGTATTTAGTTTTACTCAATCTTTTTGTCTTCCAACTATATATTAACAGAATGTATCCTCACTGACTTTTGATTTCCTCAGATAGATTATCACAGTTTAGTTTAAGTGTAACTATGTGGTGTGTGTGTTACTAACTCGATTTATTAGTAGTACATAGACGCAGACTGAGAGGAAGTAGCCAGAAGTGAAAACAACATCTGAAGTCAATGGCTACAGAAGTAGAAATATTTATTCCTCAAATCTGGATTTAGTTTATGTTGTCGTCAGGATGCAGTCTCAAGGTTTAGTCCCCCTTAAAATCAACAGCCAATCAGAACAATTCATTTTTATGAACAACCTTTTGTCTCAAGGTTTAATCTTCATAAAATCAACAACCAATCAGAACAATTTATTATCCGCTGGACTACCCGACCTTAAATGTGGCTAAAAATGTATAGATATGACATGTTTTTCCTTAATAAAAAATGTCCATTACCGAATGTCATGTCTTCTCCCGTTACATCTCTAAAATAAATCATTAAAGACAGCCAGGCTGATGGAAACATTGATACATTCAGTTCAAACTGTTAACCTTTTGGAAACAGCATATTAAAAGTGAAGTAAATGAGAATTAAATGAGACAGCAGTGAACAAAATAAGAGGACAGAAAGAGAGAGAGATTATAAAGGAAAAATTTCAAAGAATAAGAATATTTTTTTCTAGAACAAGCATGCAGTATTGTCAAGAGCATAATCATTGCCAAATAAACTCGAATTCACTCTTAGGATATTCAGAAAGACTGAAATTTATCAGTAGCTTCGTACAATCAGACTATATTGTCCATAGACTTGAAATCAACTACTTTTTATTGCAGATCTGAGACAAACAATATGCATGAATGAATGACTGTTTGGCTGATGGGTATTGAAATTTGAATGGTTGTTAACATGGTGAAAGAATTCTTCGTAACCTTGCTAAGCATATTTCTCCACTAAATTAATGATAACAGGTTAGTCCTCAAACTAATGTCAACTAGTATAGTATACCAGTGTTACCTACAATACTAACGACCACTTTTCCTATAAAACCAGGTCAACTGTAAGTACGGGTATTACAAAAAATCCAGCCAACAATTTACTTAAGGTAATTAAATTCATTTAAACTTTATATAGTCTATTAGTCAAAAACTGTGCAACGACGAATACATTAAATAACCGTGGTTAAAGAGTTAATATTAAAGCACAGAACATGGTCATAATTATCTACTTCCATAATCTTTAACGAATCAGCAAATCAGCCTAACCAGAAAATCTCAATTACCGTCAAATGAAAGAAAATGGTGAAATTGCAGTAAGATAACCGAATGGTAAATGCAGTATATTCGCGAATAACTTTAACACATTGAGAAAACAACTAGAATGGATTTAGATGTTTATATACAGCCCCATTTTAAACAGCTGGAGTAAAAGTTGGATATTGTTATTATTATCGTTGGGTTCCGAGTGGAATATAGGGCTTCAGTGGCACATCTACATTTTTTTCCTGTTCTCTGCAGTCCTCGTTAACTGGTTCCCGAATTGCACATAAACTTTCATTTCCTCTTCATACGATCTCCATCACATCACCCTCGGACGGCCAACTCGCCATTTCCCATTCAAGTTACGCTCAAGGGCTTGGTGTAGGATGTTACTTAATGTACGTCCAATCCACTTCCATTTCTTCTTACATATTTATTGGGTCATAGGTTCATAGTTGGTTCGTTTCCAGGTGCCCTTGTTGCTTGTCTTTTCTGACTAGCTATCTGATCTTCAGTATGCAGCCAACAAAAGTAGTTGTTAATGAAAGTCTGCACCAGACTGTTGGAAAAGCTCTCTATGACGTGGGCACCAAGTCCCTGAAGCGTATAAAAACACTAAGTTGACTAGCATTAGTGTTGGAAATCCGAATCTTGTCCTTTATGGTAAGTGCAACAGATTTCCACACTGATTTCAGACCAATGAAGGTCTGTCTTACTATTCCGATCCTACTCATGATGGCCTCATCTGTGCCGCCTGTAACTGCGACGATTTTGCCCAGATAAATGAAAGATGTAACTTACTTTAGATTTCTCCCATTGATGGAGATTGATGCACGTTTAGTAGTTCACTACTTTATCAGAAAGTTCTATGCCCAGGAAAATATGCGAGCTTGGGCGTGGTACTAGCGATCCTATCCAGGAAAAAACAATCCAATAGCTATAGGAACTTTTAACTACAGAAATTTGGCTGGTATACTACTCAAATTCTGAAACATTTATATTTTTCAGGATTTCATCATCAACTGACATCGTTTAGAAGACCATTGGAAGACATGGGAATACTGGACAGCTATTTCGTCCTAGTTTGGGACTTTTCGGCAGTATTCGCCCCCACCGCAAGGGTTCGAACCCAGAACCTTCTGGTTACAGGGCGACCTCGTACACCATTAAGCCACTGGGACTCGATCGAATGGTCCACGAATTCTAACTTGGATAGGGTCTCAGTGGCTTAATGATCCAAGAGCTCGCCTTGTAACCAGAAGGTCCTGGGTTCGAACCCCAGTGAGTGCATACCGCTGAAAAGTCTCAAACTAGGACGAAACAGCTGTTCAGTACTCCCGGGTCTTCCAATGGTCTTCTTACCGATGTCAGTACATGAAACCAATCAAACCCCTGCAAATCGACACTTGAATTTATATTTTTCACAGATTAGTCAAAAGTAGAAACTACAAAAATGTATTCAGAGATAGGCGCATACTTAATAAATGATCTATTGTATTCTAAACTTTGTAGACGTATGGAAGTAACACAAAAAAGTATGTGAAAAAGCAAATTAAACTAACCCATGTTTGTGGACAAGAAGCTTCATAAGCTTTTCTTTGACTACCACATCGTTTTTTTATCAGCTTTTCATCAGGTTCAGGATTTTCCGAGGATAGGCTAGTAACGCACTCCCAATAAGCATCACGTGATCTCCAGCATTCTTCTCGTTTCGACTTGGATAAAAATTCAGTTGAAGTTGGCATAAATACTAGAAATTAAAATGTCAAAAAATAATGACAGTATATCACACGTAGAAATAATTAAAATAGAAGCCTTTAAGTAAAAAAAAAAAACTTATTAAATGAAGATAATCATGTTCCTATTCATGTTTCATACAATTATTCCCTCCCTGATAAACATGAATAATGTAAATAAGAACAGCTTTTATAGGATAAGAAAGTATTCATTTTATTTCATATGGTTTTCGTCAGCTAATTACAACCTTAATTATAAGTAATTCATATGGCATAGTCTAGACGAACTTTAATTGAATGATTAGATCATTTTATAAGAGTAGAATAAAATGTCAAACAGGAAGAGACAATTTGAAAATTAAACACGAATATTCTGGAACTTATGGGGTTATTCAGACATAAGTGAATATAGTCAGGTAGTAATGTGAAGAGTTATTCAAGCAAAATGAAAAATAATTCCCACTGTAACATTAGGAATACAGTACTCGGCGAAGCGACCTTTTTCAAGGAATTTGCTATCACGCTTTACAACTGCATATATATATATAATTCTTAAGGAACTATATCCTGTGAGGAGATATAAGCAGAAGATGTGAATATTCATAATATTGGTATGAATTGAAACTAAACATTTTTTATTACAGTGATAGTTCAACATTGAGCGACAAAACAAGTTATTATTATTACTATTCTCCCTTGGGTTCCGAGTGGAACATAGGGCTTCAACAACACATCTCCATTTTGTCCTATCTTCTGCTGTCCTCTCCAGCTAGGCCCACGATTGCCCATATTCTGTCATCTCCTCCTCGCCACACGATCTCCTCCATGTCACCCTAGGACGACCCACTCGTCACTTCCCATTTGGATTCCGTTCGAGCGACCGCCTGGCAGGTGATGTCGTTCGACGGTCTCCTCAAAGTAAGCCCGATTCATATCCATTATCTTCTGCATACTTGTTGAGCAGTCGGCTCTTGGTTGGTTCTTTCTCAGAGTTTCTAGTTGTTAATTCTTTCTGGCCATTCGATCGACAATATGAAGCTAGGGAAGGCAGCTGTTGATGAAAATCGGCAGTGACCTGTTGGAAATGCTTTCTGTGATGCGCTGGCCAAGTTTCTGACCCATATGGAAGAATTGAGTGATTTCAAATTTGTGTTGAAAATCAAAATCTTGTTCTTTATGGTGAGGTGGATCGCAGAAGATTTCCGAACCGATTTTAGATTGATGAAGGTGTATGTTGCCTTTCCGATTCTAGCTTTGACATCTTCATGAGTTACCCCTGCGGTTGCAAGAAGGCTTCCTAGATAAGTGAAGGAAGTAACCTCTTTCAAATTTTTCCCGTTGATGGTGATTGGCGCTGGTTGATTAGTCCACAGATTATATAGATCTTGGAAAGAGGTGTAAAACTAATAGGCTTAATAGGCAAGTTGAGAGGTTTGATAAGATACATTTTAATATTACAAAAAATATATACTGAATTTAAGTAATAAATAGGATAAATGTAATAATACCGGAAACTATTCAAAGTGGAAATAATACCAATCTCAATGATAATAGAAAGTCTTTGGAAGGAATAAAACACGGGAAGTTAGTAGGAATTCGACTGCTGTGTTCTTAAGAGCATTGTCAAGATTGATTGAATAGTAACAGCCAGTGAGCTGTTCTAGAATAGACATTCTCACACTTGATTGACTTCTGCCACTCAAAAAACCTTGACAGTGATTTTAAAATCATCAACTGAATTCATGCTAACTCTCCGAGTTTTTTTTTCACTCTAAACATTCCCTTAACATTCCGATTACTGTTATTATTACCATCATTTTGAACAGTCTCCGATATTGTTCCACTTGTCCCATCTTTCCATTTCAATTCAGTATACTCTTCGCAATGTTAAAATCTATCTTATCACGTGACTATGTGATAGTTTTACTTGCCTACTAATCCTATTAGTTGTAAGCTCCCATCCGAGATCAATACGTTCCATGCAGTATTTTGTATATCACGCTGCCTGTTTTACCGCTTGATATTATTGAGCTGTGGTTATAATCTCACATATTGCGTTGCAATTCACATTATTATAAGCATTTTCACAGAATACAGTGTGTTAAAGACTATATATATATATATATATATATATATATATATATATATATATATATATATACGACTACACAGCATGATAATAAATTCGCTGAATGTGTTCTTAACAAACGTATTGGTGAAAAATCCGCACGGAGTTATAGATTGCTGATCGTCTGTCATGTGATTACATGTGATAGAATTCCACTCAAGTATTCTCCTATAATCATATTTCCAGTCTGTCTAAAGTCTACTGAATCATTTCCTATGTAGACAAAAATGTCAGACTAACGTGACCATGAATTATTAATTGCCCCCAAAAAAACAGGAAAATACTAAAACAAATAAAAGCATAGGGGACAGCGGGGGTGGGGGTGGAGAATATAAGCGATTGAGCATAGCAAACAACTCGAGACAAATATGTAAAAGCCGTTTAAGGTAAGATCACACAAGATTGCCAACAAATGTTTATTATGATAGTAAAAAGTCTATGATAAGAAACAGACAGAGAAATTGATTTCAAGTTAATGGAAAATATGCTTAAATAATATATGCAATAAAGGATTATATTTCCAAGCAAAAACTGAGTCAATTTCAGTTAGGATTAAAGCCTTGATGAGTGTACACAAAAACTCATTGAAAATTGATTCACAATTGAAATATAGAAATAAGGAGTTGTGGCTCTTTGATCTAGGTGATTGATTTTCAGCCAGTTGGTCACGTGTTTGAACTCCCCCCGCCATCCAACTACAGAGGTTTGGAGGCCGGGTAGTAGGTGTGGCCCATTGCCAACTGCATGGAATCGCAAGTAGTTGTTGAGTAATATTTTTCTTTTTCTCATCTTTATGGTAAAAATGCGTGTCAACATATGGCAACAAAGAAACTCCATCATGAGTATTCCAGTGAAAAGAGAATAAGTACACCTTAATCATACACAACGAAAAATCTATCCTGTCACGTAACCACCGCCTACCAACTGAGTGCCTCATCATATGCTTGTGTTCTAGCTTTATGAACGGAAAACAGGTACGCTAAGAAGGAAATGAACAGCTGATTTATTGGTTTATTCACCAGAATTGGGTGAGACTGAGATTATAGTATAGTATACTTTCTAAATTTTCACTTAGCTTTCTAAAGATTCTTCTTCCTTTAAAGTATAAGCTATGTGGTATGCTGTTTTGATAGCTTTCATAGAAATCACTATTTGCTTATTATGACAAGATTTTAAAAAATCCAGACAGAAGAACAATTTAACTCAGGTGATCATCAGCTTTGAGAAATAAGCAATGTCAAGAGTTGAATGTCACAGCTAAGATGGTAGAGTATAAGGGCTAATAATCTGCAGGCTGCTAGTTTGAGTCCTACCGCGACCTTCATTCATCACCTACTATATCAAAAAGACCAATATTACTAAAATTACTCATCAAGTCGATTTACCCCATACGAATTATAGCAAAGATGAACGTTTGAAGAACTGGATGGATAGAAATAAGTCAGATTTTGCTTTCTTTTCATATTCCATTGCTAAGAATCAAAAGTAGCCGCCAGTTTCTCTCATGCCGAGAGCTTTCCTCAACCTTTGACGATCTAAGATATAAACAGGTGTTCATTCAGTGTTATATCTGAGAATAGCAGCTATTTGCTGGAAACTGTAAACTATTTGATTTGCAATCAGAGGCTAATTATCAACAGGCTAATCACAAGACTTGAAAATTCCTAGTGTAATCATGTATGCGGTCGGGGGTCCGAACATCTGTCGAATAGTCCCTAGTTCTCAGCAATTAACTAACTCGTATCATACATAGAGGCTTTTTTTATTCCTTTACGTTCCCACTGGAACATAGGGCTTCAACTCAGAGCTTTGAAGTTTCTGTAGCAGTGGTGTTTATTTTTTACGGGATGGGTTTGCTAGGCTCTTACCCAACCTTCCCTCTTTACCAGTCTTACTACTGGCTTAGCGAGGTAAAGGAGTGCATTGTTAGTGGAACGAACCCTGGACTACATGCATGGTTGGCGAGCATTCTACCGCTGTGACACCGACTCACTACCCTATATGTTGCTACCTACAAACTCTGGCAGGGAAGAAAATCGCATCTATGGCTTACTAGTGATAACCTATAGCTACCTAATACCACAAAGTCCAGGGTCTTCTACTATTAAGACTACTACTCTACGAATATAATCTATTTGAATCAGTTAGAATTATGGATAGACTCAAAGATCAATTCAAGTCACAGCATTTTAAGACAAAAGTAAAGAAAAGTAAAAGCGGGAATAATCACATAAAGATAAATGAAAATGTTTAGAGCTCATAAAATGATGTCAAGTGAATACATCTCAGTAAGAATCTCCAACATTTAATTCTAAGCATTCTAATGATGACTACCCAGGACAGACTACTTACATATTTAGGCTCAGACCGAAAGTCATACTTCACAGACTGATGTGATGACTTTTCTTTTCTAACTAAATTTTAATTTAAACAAATATTTCTGTCGAGAAAGACAATAAATAGCTTAACATGGGAAACATGCCACCCAGAGCCACTTTAGTTGGTGAAGATTTACAATCTTATCAACTAATTTACCTGATATATACCTATACACAAAGTCTAACAACATCTGAAAATTACTCATTATTTGCTATCATCTAAAGGAAGCATAGAAACACAATAGTTTAGGGACTAGATAACAATGAATCGCTTTTTTTTCCAGTGATCAACTAGTGCAGATTAAAGACATTTACATACACAACATTATCATGAAAATATAATATGCAAAAAGATGAAAACCTCCATGATAATAATTTTATTATTATTTTTATAAATCTTTTTGTTATAACACAATTTGAAAGATTTCAGCAGACTCTACACAACAAGTAGATTCTATTTGTCCACAATAACTTCGATAGATGAAAGTTAACACAAAAATGTTGCCTATCCATAAGGTAGAGCACATTAATCAATCACACTCTGCAAAGAAAGAAAAAGTGACTATTATTAACTGGCACATTTGGTAAAGTTAAATGATAGCAAAAAACTACAGTGACCTTGAACAACCAATCAGAATTCAGATGCAAAAAAGTCGCATAACCGTTGAAAAATACACTAAAAGAAAGAAACATTGCAAACCTGATATTACAACACTGTATGGTTGTGTAGCTTATTTGTTGTAAGAACGTCTCTCAGTCAATACACAGATGATCTATACAAAAATCATACCATGTGCGATATACACATTCATCCAGGTGAATGTATTTCATGGCACTTTGAGATCCACTGATATTTCTGACACTATTCTTCAACCTACTCCTAACTCTAACCATAACCCTAACTCCTAATCCTAACTTTAACCCTAAACCTTAATCTTAAAAGCCATAACCCTACCTAACAGTATAGATTTGCAGAAAAAGTACTTAGTAAATAAGTAGGATACTGTATCTATCCTCTCCAAGTCTAAAAAAGTAGGCATGGTTTGATTTGGAATGATATTTCATAGCATTCCCTGTAAATGATTGGTCCTTGAAGGTCAAATTTTGAAGGACCTTGACTTTGGATATGATACTTTGACTTCACCGCACACTTTACAAGCATGCAACATGTATCAGTATATTTTGAACATAACACTTTAAGAAGAAAAAAGAAACAAACCGAAAGTGAAGAAAACAGCTTACTTTTTTACAATTTGTACAACATCTTCATCATGAAGAACATGTTCTTTGCCTACACGCTGAGGTTGATGTTTAACTGAAGAGCCCCATACAAATGCACTACGGAAAAAGAAAGTATTAATCATTTGTAAACGAAGAAAATATAAATAGTCATACAATACACTTTAAGAGCTTTATTGTATCACATTCTACAGACAGAGGTAATGATTACTTCAAGATGTAATCCAATAAGATAGAAATATTATTAAGTAGAAATTCATAATTTTTACCTATTCTCAATGCATTCTAAACACTATTTTGTTTAACTTTCAACACAATATTTGAAATCATTGGACACCTGGTTGCTTTCTATCTTCCTGGACCACAATAATAGTCAGAGTACATTGCAGAAGTGTATCATGAAATCCTCAAGGAAGCAGTAGCACTTGAGATTATACAGCCTTAGAGAATAAAATCACTGAAAAGATATCTTCGCTGAACTACGAATTTCTTCCTGTCTAATGTCCTAGTGGCTAATTCCCAACACACATCAACACCAATATCAAAACGGTACAAATCGAATGCCACATTTACTGCACAGTCATTGTAGATCTTGTTAAGACTCCATTCAAATACTTTTTCGAAAATTCAACGGAAGGAAACCATCGAATATTAATACACAGATTCTGATAAAGGAAGAAAGACCAAAGTTCAAGGGCAAAGTAACACTATCCTATTTCACCCAATAGCACATCTCACCGTTAGCCCAACTGAAATCTGTTGGTCGAATCAGTCACTTAAAGGTCATTATCACGTTCGATCTACTTGGAACTCTATTCCATACCTTTGCCCATTTTCATCATTAATTGTGAAAGCAAGTAGAATGTTATTTTCATTTTGCAGTTATTATTTCCCCTAATCGCTAAACATCTCGAAATGTTATAAATTTGAAAGGAAATTCTGACTCATATGTCGACTTACAATCATTCAGTATCGAATGGATGATTGTACAGTTCCACCATTTAGCATTTTTCACACTACACAATTTTTTAGCTGACACAATTCAGTCGACACTAAAAAGTAATCCTTTGTTTATTAACTTCTTGAATTCAGTAACCAAGATAGGATAAATTATTTACTAATTCATCTATGGCTTGCATATTTCTAGCATACATAGTTCCTCTATTTCTTAAGTGTCGGCCTTCCTTTTATGGTACTGATAAATTCTTTGGACTGGATAGTTTCATTGCAAAACTTTAACTGCCTTTTCAGATGAAATCATAGATGACTTCAGAGTGACTTATAGGACATGAAACTCAACTATAAATCTTCCCCATTATTGTATTTATCTTCCCTTATTCGAAATATATAATAAAATTTAAAGTCCTTAATTTTTCCAGAGGTAGCAAATATAAGTTGTTTTGCACTGTCGAACAGGGTAAATATACGAAAATATATTTACAAGGATTTACAAAATCAGTATTTCTGATGACGTTTTAAAATATTTTACTATGTGGCTATTTATTTTCAGATTTAGTCTGCACCACGTATGTTGAATTTCGTCTTCACTTGAGATTTCTACTTCATTTGTGTATCTGTGTTTCAACTTAATTATCTTGAACAGATATTTCATGCACCAGCCGTAAGAGACGTATATGTCATATGAAGACTGATGAATAATACTACCCAGTTGACCAGGCTGAAATAGGTGGAGCAGGACTTGTACCTAGGACACATCAGTTAAAAACCGAGTGCTTAAGCCAGTGAGCCACATCTACTCTGAAAATAGTTTTCTGTGGTGATTTACCATGCATAGCATGGCATTGTAATTGTACTATGGTATAAATAATGTTAAGACTGCGTATATTATCAATAATTTATTCTTTTTGTTGGGTGGGTTGCAATAAGCTCGAAGGGATTCAAGTGAATGAAGTTTTACTGATTCATAACAAGTTTATCTATCTTCTTAAGACAAGGAATGCTGTCAAATGATAAGTTGGAGTCAAGCACATATCCATTTTGGTGTTATTTCTTACAATAACTTATTTATTTTATTTTTTATTTTTGAGTACAGCATGATGCCACATCGTATTTTCAGTACAAGTATGGCATTTTCAGCATGGATATCGGTAGCCCAAATTTTGCAGGCCGACCATAGATATCGGGTGTGCGTCGGCGGGGGATAGAACCCCGAACCATGTGCAAGATCGGCGAGAGTCCTACCACTGTGCCACCGACTTCCGTATTCCCTTCACATAGTCCCTTGATAAATTTCGATAAAGCAAGACTGACCAAATTTGCAGTGTAAAATGACGTCATTCTACTCCACAGGATGACTAGTCAGTGTACTCGCGATTAAGATGCAGTTACCAAGAGAGTGAAGGATTGATTGCACGCTCTTTCTGTAAGCGTAAATTTGGTTTCAAGCATTTGTTTGCAATCGCTTTGGCAAATCGTAGTAAATTTGCTGTCCTTTGCATTTTTATTATTTTGAAGGATTTAGCAATCTCGACGAAATGACCCGGATCTGCAAGGTGTTTGATAATTGCACTTTGCGAGTATCTGCTTCCATTTCGATATAAATTTCTTGGGATATGCTCAGGAAATCGGACAGAAGGTCTTCTTTCTGTCCTTCCTATATATTTGCTTATTCAAGTGCACCTAGATTTATAAACGTAGTTGGAAGTGACATCAACAAGGTAATAATCTACTTTAGATTGCCTTATATAGCATGTAGTGCTGTATAGTGTTACGAGCTTAGCTGCAGAGAAGCGTCTTTTTATTGCTCAAATCATTCTCTTGTCAATTCTTTGTGATACTGCTTTTCTTTTGAATGAGAGACAAATAGACACTTTCATCTTTCAAACTTTCTCGTCTGTTTCCTTGATATACTTTGGGATAAATTCTTTTGGATACCCATTATTCCCTAGGCATCTCTCAAGAAAGCCTAATTCTTCTACCACTTTGTTGGACAAACATAGCTTTCTGGCTTTGTTGTACAGTTTCCTCATTAATCGACTCTTACAGGTGACAGGATACTGTTTGGTCCAAGTTCCTTTTCTATAGATGGACTTTTCGACTGTGCCATCGTTTCTTCTTTTTACATTAAGGTGCAGGAAAATGAACCAATTGTTATGTTCATATTCCATGGATCTCATTGAGACGGTCAACTAATACAGAAACTTGGTTTATATCGTTACAAACTTGTAAAGTTAGAGAATAAAAACCGAGGGCAGAGAACGCAGTAGTGACTTCCACACGATCTAGGGCATTAATTCGGTCGATTTGGGCGAAAGAGACAGGTTTAAGCTGTCATAATAAAAAAAAGGCATCCAGCTTAATATTCTCGCCCTTTTCCAGGATTTCTTCAAGATTATATTGTATATATCTGGTATTTTTAGCTTTATGGGATTGTGAGAATGAAAGTGTTTCTTGCATTCGCTTCCTCACCAGTTATTAAAAGAATAAAATGTAGCGAAACTAACGACCAACGTCATGTGATTCGTTCAGCTTGTCTAAGACTCACAATTTTCTCACAAATGTTTTACAAAAACCCAATAATAAGTAATGAAATCTAATTTCACGCATCAATCGAAAATACTTATCTTTTGTTCTCAAATTTCTATGTTGAAATTAATTTTTGTCAGAAGTCGATATCTGTGAAGCAGCCGTTGAGAGGTAGGGAGAACTGGAAAACTGCTTCCTCCTAGCTTAATGACTCTTTAGACATACACATCCACAAGAAAAGGAAACAATGAGTCCAGAACCATGAGGTTACGTGGTAAGCACGTTACCTACCTAATGATGGATTGTTATTTATTACTTCATAATTCCTAACTTTACTCGATATGCGACAGTTGTTGTCCTCTAACCTGAGTTTATGGACCACACCGTCATCTCCAAGCTAGTGTTAGGTTGTGAAAGATAATTATTCAGTGCTTTCTGATTGTTTCAATGATATCAGCTCTTAACAAAATCTACCTGAAAGTCAATTACATCCTGACAAACCTAACACAAGAAAAGTTATTAATTCGACACTCATGATAATAAATTCCTCGTTTAGTTGCGACTACTTATAAGTAGGCTAACACTTAATGTGAAAAAAATATTTATGAGAAATACTGGTATTATTAAACGAAGAAAAATCTACGTGAACAAAAAACACTACGATATGTGTGGCTGTCTTTTTAAACTAACGCGAATAGTCACAAAAGTATTTTTTAAAACACTACCTGATAAGCGGTTGAACAGTTAGCTAGTCAATGTGTATATGCTGGAAATCCCATTCTGTATGCAAATTGTTTGGAATACAGTGATTACTGTTGCTGTTATTATCATTATCACACAAGAAAGCAAACAATGGACTGCAGCAAAAATTTTAGAATGAATAAAGAAATTCTGATGTCTAGGTTAAAACTATAGCAAGATAAACTGTCGTTCCCAAATTATTCTTCATTTCGTCCTTAAGATAACTACATTTTAAGACGTTTTAGCTTTAATGTACTCCTACGTAATCTGACAATAAAATTTCATTATAGACTGATGCCTTTGTGGATTAAATATGCTAAAGAAATTACGCTTAACTGTTAAGCTGTGTCACTTGAACAACTGAGTTACATACATTTGTAAGGTAGTGCTTGAAGATATCCTGACTGGAAGAACCTCATGAAATTATATAAGAACAGTGGAAACAGACACATTGTAACTTACTACTTGAATTCCTTAATCAAAGTCCTGTGCAACTTATTACAAAAATCTTCAACTGTATGCGATGCAGACCTCAAGATAACTGGTGCGCTATAATCCGGCAACTGTCCTTTAGGTTTTGTATAAATTCTTATTAAACTCAAATATTCCCATATAAGTTCAAGCAGATCATCGAAATTCCACTTGTGATGAGCTGAAATAGGTACACAATGTGGAATACGACAAATAATATCTAGCTCCTGACAAAAGATCGGATTAATAAACAATCAATTTCTTACCTCTATAGTAATTTGATCAATCTTATTTAGAACATATATACACGGTATATACACCCGACTCCCTTCAATGACATCAATTAAATCTTCAGCGGTTGCGTCACACCTAAGTAAGACGTCTGCATTGTGAATTTTATATTCATTTAAAATTGTTTTCACTGTTTCTTTATCTAATTCAGACTGGGGAACCTATAAAATGTCATTTTCTGCAATATAAAAGCAATGAAACTTACCATAGCTTGGAAATTCAAACCTCCCTTATCTTTACGACGCAGGGTGATATTAGGAGGACTTTTGTTTAATCGTATGCCAAATCCTTCTAACTCATGTTCTAGAAGCTTTTTGTGCTGCAAAGGTTTAAGGACATCTAAGACCATAAGAATGAGAGTGCAGGTTCGGGCAACTATACAATAAAATCATATTGCACTGGGTTGATTAAACTAATTTACCAGCTATAACTTGCTTTCCTCGACCTTTACCATCTTTAGCGCCTTCTATAATCCCAGGTAAATCAAGTAACTGAATTTTAGCGCCTTTGTATCTTATGACGCCTGGGACAGTAGTTAGAGTTGTGAACTCATACGCCGCTACTTCGGAGTAGACACCAGCTAAGTTACACAGAAGTGTCGACTTCCCGACAGACGGAAAACCAACGAAACCAATACGTGCATCGCCAGTTTTAGCAACGTCAAAACCTTCACCACCTCCACCCGAACCACCTTTAGGCTCGATAAGTTCTCGTCTAAGTTTAGCCAGACGCGCTTTCAACAATCCCAAATGACCCATGGTGTTCTTGTTCTTTTGTGTCCTGGCCATCTAGAAACAGTAATAAATAATTAGTAAATCAGTTTGTGAGGAAAGCTGATCAATTTCGTACGTTTTGAATGCATTACACATTTTGTAAATAAAAACAGGTTAAAAGATAAAATGGCAATAGAATAGATCTGCCAACTTGCTGGCATTTCACAATGTGCGCTAAGTGCTGGTAGTCATAAGAATTTTCGAACTCAGAACACCGCATAATTTAGCCATGAATGCGAATTGTCAGAGCAAAGTAAAAGAATCATAACCAAAGTCAAGGTCCCACAAAAGCTAACCCTCAAGAACCAATCAGATACGGGGAATGCTACGAAAAATCATTCCAAATTAAATCATGCCTGACTTTTCGGACTCAGAAAGGGCTGATACAGTATTTTACTTATTCTCTAGGTACTGTCGCTCTAAATCTATATTGTTAGATAGGATCATGGTTTTTAAGATTAAAGTTCAGAGTCTAGGGTTACAGTTAGAATTAGGGTTCAATTTGGGTTAGGATTATGGTTAGAGTTGGGGGGTAAGTTAAGGAAAAGTGTCAGAAATATCAATGGATTTCAAAGTACCATGACCTACAGTCACCTGGATGAATGCATCTATGGTGCATGGTACGATTTATCTATAGATCATGTGTAGTAACTGAGACATTCTTACAATACATAAGCGACACCTACATAGTGTAATATCATGTTTGCAGTGGTTTTTAGTGCATTTTCCAACGATTATTCGACTTTTATGTATCAGAATTCTGATTGGTTGTTCAAGGTCACAGGGATTTTGGCTGAAATAGGTTAACTTTATCGTCTTCCGTAATACTCAGAAACTAATATATAAAGTTCCAAAGTAATTTACTGAACTGTGCTTCATTACAAATAACGAGACCAGGATAAGCATTAGTACAACTAGTTGTGACATGATTGTGTAGAAAACAAAAAAATACTTATTGATTGTCATTTACCTGTTAACTTCATTTTGCGTGCTATGGCATAAATCACAAATTATATCAGTTCTTTTATGACACAGAGTCTTTGAAAATGACGTATATGAGTATTTGACAACCCAATAACAAATACCTATACATAGTATTCCAGACTGTGCAGGAGAACACAGCTAACTTTTTTTAAATTCAGTACAATCAATACGGCTTAGACATATGACAATGGTCACATTCTTAGTCACTTTTTTATTTACTTAAAACACTATGGGTTACGAAAATCAGTCCCACAAAATGACATGACAAAATTTTGAAGATATGATAAGAACAGAGCGGATAAAGGGTAAAAGGTAACAGAATTGTATGTACCAAGCAAATAAGCAGAAACACTCACTGGTTTTGTCTAGCTTTTGACCACAACGAAGTCAAGAAAACCTAAATACATAAGTAATTTTAAGACAACTAATAACTTCTTGAACTACTAACTCGCTCAATTTACTGGACACCACTACAGATCTCCATGTACACACAAAAGATAAATATACAAGAATCTCCAACTGCATAACGTGACACCCCGAACAACTTTTTCATAAGCAGCTGATAAAAAGTACACTGAACAAATGTTCAAGCCATCAGAAAACAAGTTTATGACAACATCACTCATCCGATTAACTAAGCAAGTACCACTGACATTAAAACTACTTACATAGCGTTATTATCGGAAGACAGCAACAGTTGCACAGATGTATTAGTGTGTTCAATAGTTCAGACTCACAAATGTACATCATAATCGAATTGATTCGAGTATTATATTATGAGTATTGCGGAAGCGCCACACAGAATTAACTTTAACCAGAATTCATGCTCATTAGTACTCATCACCAAGTTAGCGACAACTCAGCTACGCTGAAACAGGCTGTGAGACACGCTTATGGTGTGACGGCCGATAACTTTCAGTTGCCTAGGTTGGAGTACATATATTCAGATTTGAACTGGAAGCTCATCGGCTGAAAGTTGATTGAGAAGGCCAATGTACATCAGTAGCCCTTAAATGTATTTCCCAAGTGAAACACTTGGAGATTTAAAGGGTTTTTGGTAGGGCAATAAAGAAGAGCAAATGTCTGGAGAAAATTCGAGTGAAAGGAAACATACTTCCTCTTCCAAATAAACTCCGAACTCGTAAATTACCCTGCAAAACCAGCCAAAAAAGGAGCTTCCTTTCCGACTCTAACCCCCACCACAACGCTGAAGTGAAAAACTTCGTTGCGAATGCCTCTTTACATGACTGCATTACTTATACGAATTGATACCCAAGTGACTTATGCACCTAGCTGCTGAGTTCACACATGTACACCCCTGGATATTCATGACACGTGTTAAATACTCGACTAAGTAATCAATGCCACAATAAATCATGAAACTTAGACTTTTTGCCATGAAAACTGCAGTAAAGTAAATGCATATAGAGCCATTTATTCACAAAGAATAATGTCCTCAATAGTGCTAACAAAAACTGTATCACTTAGTTAACATGACCTGTACAGATTACCAAGTAGTTTAGGAACTGTGTAGACTATTCATAGTTAAAAGCTCATAAATAAATTGCACAGAAACATTGAAATATATTTACCTCGGCCTCTATTTCAGCAATCTTCTGCAGGATGCTCATTTTCACGCGGATCGACCTTCTGAATCAAATAACTCGCCAAGGTTAAAAACTTAAGTGATCAGGGGCGGTGGGCTTATCCGTCACGGTAGTTGACATTTCATTTCTTAAATTTATTTTATGAGCAACTATCAATAAAATTGTGTCCTTCATTTTCTGTGTTGATAGGAATTCTCAGTTAATGACTAGTCATGTTGGTGTCCGCGTCATGTGATCTGACTCTCTCTGACACTCTTAGCATATCGACTGCAATGGTTAGTGTTTCAGGCATATTGTGTTAAAAACATCTACACAAATAGTATACTTTATGTGGAAGCTGCCCCTTTCGGTACAGCATCGTTCAATAAATACTTCACGTCTCAGGAAATCAATGTAGCCTATTTTCGTGTGAAGAACAGTACTATTTGGCAAACGAATGCTATCAGTACATGGAAATCACCTATAAATGCTAACAGAACCTTATTTGGGGTCACGATTTATCATGCAGATGTGTCTTTCTCTATATGTGTGTTTGGACAGGAATTATAGTAAGTTAAAAGGTTATCTATATGTGGATTTAATATGTAGCTGCACTTCTTGATACAGTGTAATATGGGTTATGTGGATTCGATGTATAAAAATTATCTCAGCTTTAACGATGTTGTGCCCTTGTCTGCTTAGATGACTGTAAGGCTAACAAATAAAGGTGGTTCTCATGACTGTTGCAAGTGCAGCGCAGTGGAGTTAGCAATTATTCTTTTAATTTTCCTCACTGTTTCAAATAGTGCATAAAGTCAGTGTGCAGTATTATTATGCATATGGATTGCGTTGATTATGAAAACTGAATCTAGTCAGCTTTATTATTATCAATCCACTGTCTGTTATAACATTCCCACTGACATTATATATTTAATGCTGCAATATTTTTGATCACCAATAATGGAGATGAATTTCTCCTGAGGTTTCCATTTACGTGATGCAGTGCAAATACAGTATCACGACTGAATGTCTTGGTTGCATTATATGACATTGTTATCGTCATCAACACAATACGTTCGCGTACTTTGGAATATTTCAAGTATTTCTCTGTGCTGTTAACACAGTGCATAACTGTTTACAGTTAAGACCTATGTACCTTACATATGAACGCCATAGTGCACTAAAGCTGCAATGTAATTTCTGTAGGATTCGCAAAACCATCTTCACTAGACACTACTGAGATTTTGGATTAATTTCTAAGTTATGAAAGGGCAACACTTAGTTTAAAGTAAACGTGACTAGTGTGAAGTTGATCTGCGAGTAATCTTGATGAGAGAACGCCTTAAAAGTATGGATATATCAAGGTTTGTCTTGAAATTTGTGTATGATCCTCTAACAGTGGAAAACATGTGGGGTCTCCTTATGCATACGGTGCCAATATGGAAACGGGCTGTAGACTACAAATACTTTTATTTACATGAGAGTTTTACTTAGTACTAGTAGGATCACTGTATCCATTTTGCATATGAATACATAAAATTAGCTCTTATAACTTAATGTTGTGCTAGTCCTTACGTATGCCTTATTTTTTAGGTATATAGAAGTTGCCGAATATGAAATCAGCAAAAATATCAATCGGTCAAACCAACGCCAATACCCTTCATGAGAATTTTCTTCCGTAAATTGATGGAATGTTTAATATACTCTTAACTACCACTTCTTCTGGACTTCTTCAATGTGTCGCTTTACCATAAGCTAATGTATTATGTGAAGCTGGATTGATGCATATCAGTTTGTCTATTAGATATATCACACAGTGAAACAGTATTATTTACTGGATGGCGAAGTTTCGAACACAATTTATTGTTCATAACCACATCAATTATAATCACACGACTTCGAAACTTGAGTTTTATAGTTTCCTTTGTTCTCTCCTATTTTCGTAGGGGTAGTAGAATTTTCCAGATATCTGGGTGGACAGGTGTTGATTCATTCCTATTGCACGTGTTTGCAGTTGATCCGATAGAAAAAGCTTCCGTTAGCAATCTCTCCGCCCACCCTGTTACATTAGATTCCAAAACTGTCATCTCATCCCATCCTATTGTATGATTGTGTGTAATTGCATGTGGTGCTATAACTGAACTATTCCCCAGTTTCCTTATCTTATTCGGGTCAACTAATCTAGATTTTTCTATGTTTTTGTGCTCCTCTTGTCTCGACCCTGTTCTACTACTTGACCTATGTATTTAACCTGGTAATCATTGCAGCAGAGTATTAGATAAACTAAATTGTTTTGTTTAATTGGCTCCACAGGATCCTTTGACTGACAAAGATTGTCTCTAATTGAGTTTATGGGTTTTATAGATAGCTGTTGACTTTAGATTGCTAATCTCATCGTTCTCAGATGGAGATTTCTCCTCCAATAACTTATTGAAATTTTTATTTTAGTATTCACTGACTTTTTGAAAGCTACTGAGTCATATGGTACTAATTAATATCCATCACCTATATGATAAATAACTGCAATATTTGCACATGTACGTTATGGATATTAAATTGCTTACGGTTTTATGCGTCTATGAAGAACTAACAAAATTTATTGAGAGTAATCCCAATTTGGTAGTTCACACTGAAGATGACGGTTGCTGCACATGGAACAACTGTAGGCATGTACAGCCTCCGCTGAATATAATTTCCTAGAATTCGTTACTTATAAATTTACTTCATAAAGCACTCCAAAAATATAATCTAACCAGTTCTACATATAAACATTTCAACGTACGCTGTTTAGTCCTATAACAGATTATCTAAATATGCGTAGCTACTTGAAGATAGTTTGTGCTGAAGGCAAATATAGGCACATAACGGTTGAATATCGCGTCTGCGTGAAACAACTGCCTTACCTATACAATCGTATACTTTGAAGCCAAACCCGTGGAGTTGATGAAATCAGGTATGTAGTGGCCCTGTAGAGGGTTATTTCACGTTCGCAGTGCAGTTATATCTGTTCTTCTTTCGTTCCCTCCACTGGTTACATAAAGACGATAAAAAGGCAGATGCGTCTTTCAAGTAACCTCCATTTACGTGTCGGTCAAGAGATTTGCAAAACTGCCGCCTCAACTTCTTGTAGAGTACATTGAACCCTTGAACTTTTGTTTGAACTCACTCATCCGACTTTTGGCGCTTCTTCCTCTTTCGATTCGTGAATCTCCTGTACTGTTTTGTTTCGCTCTCTCGTTGTGCTTTCATCCAGCACACTCTCCGAGCCTACCACCGTCAAGAGCGCAGATAAGTGTATAACCACTTACTTTTATCAAATCTCATATCTCTTTTTGTGTAAATATAACTTTGTTCCAGTCACACTTGCCATCTCAAGTCTTTTTACTTTGATTCCGTTCGTTAGTATTTGCACATTAGGCAGAGTATAACTAAGGTCATAAAGCAGTGAAGAAGTTTTGTAAGAGTGGTTATTTTAGGTCTAAGTTAAGCCAAGTCTAACTCTTACATTCTGATGGTTTTCCAAGTAACTGTTTGTTGTCATAGGTAGCAGCTTTCGGGTAGCAAATATTCATTGCCCACAATTCTGCAGAACACGATCAACTGTGATGTAAGATTACCGTGTGTCTCACTTACCTGCAAAATGGGGATAAGTTATACGAGTAATCACCATATGACTGCAAGGATACCTGCAGGTGGTGAACACTCTGCAACTACATGTACCTTTTGCTATATAAACTACTGGATGTGTGAATCCACTGACGAAACACTCTGTTGGAAATACGGTTGCCTATGCAGGCCCTTCTAACTCTTCTAAAATCTGCAAAATCTTTTCTTCCAGCACATTCTGTTAATTTCGGTTATAAGGGCTGCAAAGCTGGTATCCTTTTGTCTGCCGTTCTTACCTTAACATGCCGTCCACCTTCCTTCATTTACAACCTCCTGTCACTCCACCAGTACACCTCCCACTTACATTTGTGTAGATTATTATCTCTCGGCAAATTCCGTTTGATCAGCCTGTGCAAACATTCAAGAAGATTATTAGTGTTATTGCCAAGTTACAAAACACTACTTCCCATAATTTTTTCAAAAGTAGCCACTGTCTGTGTGTATACCTCCCAAAGTGAGGATCTAGATGATGTATGATACTGAGGTATGTGTAGAATCTCTAAATAAATTTATGATCGGTTCTAAAATTTACCTTTTAATTGATTCCTCACGAATCATACTAGATACTTACTGCCTGACGAGTTTGCTTTTTGCCTAAAATCAACCCTCGAAATTCTCAACACTTAATTTTCTACACATCGCATGACAAATATGGAATGCTCACAATTTTATGTTGCAAAGCAGGTGCGTTGTCTCCATCGCACCTCTTAGTGCTTTTGCGCAGTCCAGGACGAACGTCTCGGTATTGGACGTTGAGCCTATAGTGCATTTAGACTGATCCGGTTACATCGCTTAGCCTTTCTTATCTGCTCCACGCTAACATCACCGGGAGACCTTCCCATAACAGTGTGTAACAGCAAACAGAAGTAGCTTATAACTTCAAATGTTGGATTTAGAAGACATTTACACCTCCTTTCCTTTATTGGTGTAGGTGGAATCGAAAACCAAAACCTCTGGGAATCTATGGTAAATTTTCGATTTTCCTATTCGAACTGAAGCAAGCTATTTGCACTGCCAGTTTTCATCTTGAAATTACAAGCAACTTCCCAATTTGTTGAAGCCTAGAAAAAACCACTGACCGTAAACCACAATCTGAAAGGTTATTCGTGTCTTACCTTCGACTACAGTAGCTGTTATATTTAGTAAATCATTGTGCATCATCCTTTTTTTAAATCGTTCCGTCACGTACTCAATAACTTTTTCAGGATCGGACGAAACAGACAGCATTGGCTTAACTATACACCATTCAGACTCATTTAATTTGCGGGCTTTGGCATCCTCCATTAAATATTCATGAGTGCAACAGTGATTGTCAGTCATATGTACAAACAGGACAATAAGTTTATTTCACTGATACCGGATGCGTATCACCGATAGGCAATCAATATATTTAGATCTACTCCACTGGGCATTGACAACC